CCCAACATGTCTCTCCTTTGCTCAAAACTGTTCACTTCACTTGGAGGAAAAGCCAAATCCTTGATGTCCCTTACCTCTCTCATCTCATCCCCTATGGCTTAGCACCTCTCTCTCACTCCATACCAGCCCCCCCACCCAGTTTCCTTTCTATGCTTGGACTGCAGGGCTGTGCCTTCTGCCTAGAACCTTCTTCCCCCAGGTAACCTTCTTCCCCTCAGCCGGGCTGAGTCCCTTGCTGCTTCACTCCTCTGCTTGTGTTCCACCTCCGCTGAGGGTTTATCCTCCCCATCCGGTTTTTTATTTATTTTATTATTATTTTTTAAAGATTTATTTTACTTATGCATACAAGAGCTAGGGTGTAGGCCAGAGGTGCAGGAGATGAGAGGATTCACCAGAGACAGAGTGGGGAGCAGAACAGGCAGATCCACTGAAATACACTGCTGAGGGGAGCAGCGGGGAGACAGGAGAGGTCTGCTGGGCCATGTGGGTAGCTCCCTGGCCGGGGATCAAACTCATGCTGCAGAGGCTGTGGACAGCTTCACAGTGCTGAGACCTTAACCCTGCACCACCAGGGAGGCCCCCTCCACTTATGTTTTAAAAATGGCAATCAACCCTCCTCCCACTGCCTTTGCCCTTTTCTTTCACCATCCTCTAAAATCCTGTTGACCTAACATCTACCATTTCTATTGTTCGTTGTCAGGCTGCTAACATGTAAGCTCCCAGAGGGAGGGCAGATCTCTCTTGTGTCCACTGATGGAGCGGAGTGCCTGGGCCGGGGCCGCGCCTCAGCGCAGATTTGCTGGGTGAACGGAAGACTGCGGGGACCCACGGGACCCATCAGCTGCCAGTATTTGCTTCATGGCGACCGTAAGTACAGGGCATAAAATTTCGCAGCACAGATTTTTAAACAAAATGAACAATGGAGAAAATTGAGGTAAAGTGTTAGCGCTGTAGTTTAATATTTACTGGAGCCCTGAGTCACACGAGGTGACACAGAGATATTCTTGACCCCACGGATCTTACAATGAAATTGTGGATGCTGAGGTATTTATACTTGCCTGGCAAATGAAATTGGCAGGAAAAGGGAAAGAACACGCTCTAGATGTCCCAGGAGCTTCAGCGGCCACATCTGCAGCAGAGAGCAAAAGGGAGGGCCGGAGATGTCCAGCAGACTGGAGCGGTCCTCCAGGTGTTCAGAGCTCCCGAGGCAGCGATATGGGAGGTGGCTTTAAACAAGGGAGCCGGTCTGGGCATAAAACAGCCCATGCCTGGAAGGGAGTTAAAGTGGCCAGCCTAATGCTGGTCTTGTAAGCAAAATGCTCTGCCAAGTTTAGAAACTTCCACACATGGATCTCATTCACGATTAGCAATTTCAGACTGCATGAGATTTCCCATTGATGAGGTAGAAACACTACTGATCAAAACTGATATAACCTGATCAAAACTGCATATACTCAAAACTTATTGATATGCTACTTTCTGAGCAAGGTGAGAGAAATCCTAGGCTCTTGGCAGAGAGCACCATGTAGAATACACAGACACCAGACTGTAATGCTGTCTACCCGAAACGCAGACACAGTTGTCAGCCGATGTTACTCTGATAAAAATTAAAAAAAAAAAAAAAAAAAAAAAAAATTCCTTGGGCCTCCCGGTGGCACAGCGGTTGAGCGCTGGGTTGCGAAGCTGCCCGCGGCCTCTGCGGCGCCGGTTCGATCCCCGGCTGCTCCCCGGCCACCAGAGGAGGGTCCCACATGGCGCGCAGACCTCTCCTGCCGCCCGCTGCTCCCCTCAGCAGCGTACTTCGGTCCTTCTGCCTGCTCTGCTCCCCGCTCTGGCTCTGGTGAATTCTCTCACCCTCCCGCGCTTCTGACTGTACCCAGTGCATGTATAAACAAAACAAACAAACAAACCAGCAAACAAATAAATAAAAAGCATGCCTCTATAAAAAAAAAAAAAAAAAAAAAATTCCCAAAGAAAAAGATCTGAGGGCCTCCCTGGTAGTACAGGGGTTAGAGACAGCATGATCAAGCTATCCGCAGCCACTGCAACACGAGTTTGATCCCCGGCCTGTGGGTCAGGGACTACCCACATGGCGCAGCAGACCTCTCCTGTCTCCCCACTGCTCCCCTCAGCAGTGTATTTCAGTCAGTCCGCCTGTTCTGCTCCCCACTCTGTCTCTGGTGAATCCTCTCACCCCACCTTCCACACATCTGGCCTACACCCAGCTCATCTATATATAAATAAATATTTTTTAAAAAATCTAAAATATTAGAGATCGATTATGATTTATACCTGTAGACCCTCTGGTTTGCATCTAAGCATCATTACAAAAAAGCCCACATCCTGTCCCAATACTAACTAGGTCAGGAGCAGAGCCAGAACTGGCCCAGACTACTCTGAAACCACAGGAGTTTGTGTCGGCTAAAATTGGCCCATGAGTGAACATTTTTGAGCTCCACACTAGCTCATTTAAAGCCTTTAATATATTCAATATGATCTTTATAATACATGTCAGGCAAACTTTAATGGCTGTCCACAAGTTTCACTATCACTAAACTTTGTATCCAAAATCTAAATGCATTGAAACACTTCTATTATGACTGCGATCAATGCTAATTACAAAGATAATAAATGAGGAATTGCTACATGAGTGAGTTCTGTCTATGTGAAGGTCCACGACCTTAGAAGTCTAGAATCACCACCTCATTTGATAATTATGACATCACCCTCATTTTTCAAAGGACAGGACTGAGACTCAGCAAAGTTGAAGAGGTTGCTTGGGGTTGCAAGGCAACAGATTTCAACCTCCAGGCCCTAGGATAACTTGAAATTATTACACTCTCCTGCCAGCAAACAAAACCAGGAAGCAAAGGAATGTACATGAACTGCTCCAGGTCACAATGTAAATTACTAAAAGTCTGCACAGTAAGTTGCTTTCAGATTTGCTTCAGAAGCATCCCTTGCGCATCAACTCTGTGCCAGCTATTTTATGAGAAGGCTAGAGTAAGACACAAATCCTGGTCTCCCAAAGGGCAGCCCAGCCCTGAGGACAGGAGCTGAGAAGTGAAGGTGGAGGAAGAAGGTGAGGCTGCGAGGGTGGGTTTGGGTCAGACCTGGGGAAGTGAGTCCAGCGGAAGGGAAGTGAGTCCAGTGGAAGGGAAGTCTCACACGTTGCTTCCACCTGCAAGTGTGGGTCTCTGTCATCGCGGTCTTTTGCAATCATTTATGAGCTTCAGTTTTCCTGCTTCCAGTCTCTTCTTGGCCTCCAACAAGCCTTGCATCTATCCTGCCCATTACTCTGGATTAATCTTCCTAAAGCACAATCATATCCCTCCTGTTTAAAAACTCTCAGAGGCTCCTTGCTTAGTTGTCCAAAGCCCCTCAGAACCTGGTCCCCACCTACCTCCGGTCAATCCAGACTCGCCACGCTTGGCAGCGTCTACCATCATCATAGATACTTGTGCTGTTGCTGCACCGTCTTCCTTTCAAGCAACTCACTTCTCAAAAGACATAGATTCTTTTAGCCTTGTCTCAGCAATAATCTATAGGAAATCCTGGATTTGAGGTGCTAATTATATTTTCCCCTAATGCCCATTACATACATATCCACCAGCTGCCCATGAGCTCAGCATGCAGTGGCTCCCAGCATCCTTGGAGGTCCACTCCCGAGGGGCTCCCGGGGTCACATGCAGCACAGGGTTTTTTTCCATGGCCACTGCATTTATTCACTTGGTAACTATTTACTGAGCACCTATTATGTGCCAGATATTTTCATAGAACAGGACAGACATGCCCCGAGTCTCTGAGAGTTTATGTGGCAGTGGAGAAGAGAACCATAAGAAAGTAAATAGACCAATGACAACACAAAAAAATTAACAGATTGTGATAAATTCTAGGAAGAAAAGAGTGGGATGCTGTGACAGACTGGGAGAGGCAAAGAAAGAGTACTAAAAATAGGATGGTAGAGAAGAAGGGTCAGAAACAGGAAGAGGGGCCAGCTTGTGCAAAGATCCTGAGGCTGGGAACGCTTTGCCAGCTATCAGAGATGCTGAAAGGAGCCGTGTGGCTTAAGGATCGCTGGGGGCTGCAAGGCAACCAAGGCAGCGAACCATAAAATAAACTTGGAGAGGTGCAGGAGCCAGAAATGCGGGTCTTGCTGGACAGGGTATGGATTGTGGATTTCATTCCAAGTTCAACTGGAAGCTTTTGACAGACTCTAAGCAGAGAAGTGGCATGATCTGACTCTGGTTTGCTGTTTGAAGAACTGGCTGAGGGAAGCAAGAACAAGAAGAAGAACACTAACATTGTTGAGATTTTCATGGTCCAGCATCCCAGCGAGTGGAGACACTGAATTCCCACAGGGTAACGCAGGGTTAAGTTTGGGGGCAGTGGGTTAAGTTTGCAATCAGCCAGTGTTTGCTTTTGTTGTTGTTTTGGACCAAAACAAACCATAGTTCCCCAAAGTCACTAATAGAGGGAATTTTCACCAACGCGAAAGGTTCAAACATCCTTATGTTGTAGTGGAATAGCTGCAAGCAGGAGCAGGCAGGTACAGATCCCATTAATGGTGGGGCAGAGGGATGCCTGTTTCTAGAACCAGGATCTGGCCATGAAACTGCCGGCAGGAAGAGCAGAGAGCGGTGGGGAATTCCACACTGAGTACTTCGGGCAGTGAGACCTTCACAAGCCTCCTTTACACACTTGGATATTCAGAACAGAAGTGAAATTCCCTAAGATAAAGTAATAGGAGGCGAACATTTGCCTGTAAGGAAACTAACAGGCTGACTAAGACCAAACTTGTCTTGTCGTCCTGGGATCCTCTGACGCCGACGCATGCGCTGCGGGTGCAGGCTACCATTTATATCTCAGTGGTAACGGCTCTTAAAAGCTAAATATAGGGATCTGGCTGGGGAAGAGAAAGAGACTTCATAGCAGCCACGCCACGGAAGGCAGGCTCTCAGGGAGGAAATCTTTCAGAGGGAAAAAAACGCAACGCTTACCTGAAGCCCCCGTCCAGTCCTACAGTTCCAGCTGGAAAACCAGGGTTCCTTTTCCTTCCGATTCTTATAGGACACTGTGAAGAGGCGTGTGGGATTTTTGTAAATGGCACGAAGGCTCTGCCAGGAGAGGGCAACTCTCATGCCCTTCGCTGTACAGGGGCCCTGATGCCTCGGTCCCTATTCAAAGTCGAGGCCCTATAAAAGCATGGGTTCTTCCCAGAAGCTGGGGACACCTCTGGGGCTCCACTCGTGTCTTCCACTCTGAACCAGTTCTCCCAGCTCCCTGCCCGGAGTGGCCAGGCCCCACACACAGGCAGAAGTTGGCACACAGACAATGAGGAATGTGTGTTCTCCTTTTACCCGTGTTCCCAGACACACAGTCGTCCAGTCCACAGGACTGACAGTTCATTAACACTGAAGCTTGTTTTTGTTCCTCATTTTTTCACAATTATTTGACAAGTATTTAATGAAACATTAAGGCCAAAAGCCTTATTTCTGAGGCAACCACAGAATTCTTCAAATATATATCCTTTTGTTCCAAAACAGATTGCTTGCCAACTGGAATGTTAGGGAATTTCAGTTTTGAGGAATCAGGCGAGTGTGGAGTGAGCTCACTGGTAAGCTTTAAGAGATAGGATGTTCACTCTGACAATTAGAATGACTACTCTGGTCAAAAGGTAAGAAATTAGGGCCTCCCTGGTGGCCTAGGGGTTAAGTCTCAGCGCTATCACAGCTACACTCTGAGTTCGATCCCCGGCCCGGGAGCTGACCCACTTATGGCACAGCAGACCTCTCCTGTCTTGCCTACTGCTCCCCTCAGCAGTGTATTTCAGTAAATCCCCCTGCTTGGCTCCCCACTGTCTCTGGTAAATCTTGTTACCACCCCATACACACCTCTGGCCTACACCCCAGTTCTACGAAATAAATTTTTAAAGATTTTATTTATTTATTTATACAAGAACCAGGGTACAGGGAGGGTGAGAAGATTCACCAGAGACAGAGCGGGGAGCAGAACAGGCAGACTGACGAAATACACTGCTGAGGCGAGCAGCGGGAAAGACAGAGAGCTCTGCCACGCCATGTGGGACCCTCGCTGGCCGGCGGGATTGAACCCGCGCTGCAGGGGCTGCGGACAGCTTCACAGCGCAGCACTCAACCGCCTGCGCCACCAGGGGAGGCCCTAAATATCTATTTTTTTTTTTAAAGTAAGAATTAGTTTTTAAGTTAATACCAGATACATCATACGACTTCATAAAAGTAATTTTTAAGTGTGGGGATTAGTTGCTTCCACTAAAATGTCCCTGTGAGCACCCAAAGACCAGCGAGGACATCGAGGTTAACACACAAAACTGTGTCTTACTGATTAAAATTAGTTGCAGGGAACACCCATTCATGATAAAAGCCCTTGAAATTCTTGGGATACAAGGAACATACCTCAACATCATAAAGGCCATCTATGACAAGCCACAGCCAGTATCATTCTCAATGGTGAAAAGCTGAAAGCATTCCATTAAGATCTGGAACAAGACAAGGATGTCCACTCTCACCACTGCTTTTCAATATAATACTGGAAGTCCTAGCCAGAGCAATAAACAAGAGAAAGACATCCAAGGAATCCAAATAGGAAAAGAAGAAGTCAAACTATCACTATTTGCAGATGATATATAATAACATAGAGAACCCCAAAATCTCCACAGAAAAACTAATTCAACTCATCAATCAATTCAGTAAAGTGGCAGGATACAAAATCAACACGCAAAAGTCAGTAGCCTTCCTATACACAAACAAAAATCTGAAGAAGAAGAAATCAAAAAAACCACCCCTTTTATTATCGAAACAAAAAAATCAAATATTTGGGAATAAATCTAACAAAAGAGGTAAAGGACCTATACAAAGAAAACTATAAAACACTGTTAAAGAAATAGAAGAAGACACAAAGAAATGGAAAGACATCCCCTGCTCATGATTGGAAGAATAAACATTATTAAAATGGCCATCCTACCAAAAGCAATATACAGATTCAATGCTATTCCAATCAAAATCTCAATGGCATTCTTCAAAGAAATAGAACAATTATGATGAAAATTCATATGAATCACCAAAAACCCCGAATAGCCAAAGCTCTACTGAAAAAAAAAGAAGGAAATGGAGGCATCACACTCCCAGACTTCAAACTATACTACAAAGCCATAATCATCAAAACTGCATGGTATTGGAACAAGAAACAGACATACAGACCAATGGAATCGAATAGAAAATCCAGAAATAAACCCACAGATTTATGGTCAACTAATCTTGACAAGAGCAAAGACTATGCATTGGAGCAAAGAAAGTTTGTTCAATAAATGGTGCTGGGAAAACTGGGTCGCTACATGCAAAAGAATGAAGCTTGACCACTACCTCACACCATACACAAAAATCAACTCAAAATGGATTAAAGAACTAGACATAAGACCTGAAACCATAAAATACATAGAAGAAATATAGGCGAAACACTACGGGATTTGCACATCAAAAGACATCTTTACAGACACATCACCCAAAGCAGTGATAGTGAAGAGAAAGATAAACAGCTGGGACTACATCAAATTAAAGAGCTCTGCACAGCAAAAGAGACAATAACAAAAACAAAGAGAAACCCCACCAACTGGGAGAACATTTTGCACCCAACACTAATGATAAAGGACTGATCACAAAATCTGCAAAGAGCTGATGAGACTCAGCAACAACAAAGAAAAAACCAGTCAAAAAATGGCAGAAGAGCTAAAAAGAAACTTCTCTGAAGAGGAATGAAAATGGCCAACAGACATATGAAAAAATGTTCAACATCATTGTCATCAGGGAAATGCAAATCAAAACTACCATGAGATACCATCTCACACCAGTGAGAATGGCACATATTAAAAAAACTAGCAACCAAAAATGTTGGCGAGGATGTGGAGAAAAAGGAACTCTTGTGCACTGTTGGTGGGAGTGCAAACTGGTCCAACCACTATGGAGAGCTGTGTGGAGATTTCTGGACCTACTAAACATAGAGCTTCCATATGATCCAGCAATTCCACTCCTAGGTATTTACCCCAAGGACACAGAAACATCAATTCCAAAGAGCACCTGCACTCCTATGTTTATAGCAGCACTGTTTACAATAGCTAAGCTTTGGAAACAACCAAATGCCCAAAATAGATGACTGGATCAAGAAGATGTGGTACATATACCATGGAATATTACTCAGCATTCAAAAAAGATAAACACATGCAATTTGCAGCAACATGGATGGCACTGGAAGGGATCATGCTCAGCGAAATAAGCCAAAAAGAAAAAGAAAAATACCGGATGGTCTCACTCATAGCAGGAATCTAGAAAACTTAAATAAGGGACCAGAAAATGAATATAAAAAGTGAAAATCAAAATCAACAAAAAAAACTATGAACCAGAGACACTTTTTGGGGTGGGGGCGGCGGAGGGAAGGATTGGGTCAGAATGGGGCGTTTGCAATTGTATTGGGGAATATAAAAATAAATTTAATATTTAAAAAAAAAAAAAAAAAAAAAAAAAAAAAAATAAAATTAGTTGAGGGAGGCCCCTCTCCTAGCGAGTTTACTGTCCATGAAAGCAATATCCTTTCGCAGGCCCCCGCAGCAGTCCTTCCCGCATCTGGCTGCGGGCGTGCACGTCCATGTCGGGGCCGGGTCCAGGGGCTGGGTCAAGGCCTGCGTGCTAACAGAAGGTTTCAGGTGTGCTCCCAGTTCTCCCTCTCCTTTCAATACCTGCCAGGTCTGGCCCCAGGGATGTGACCCACAGGGATCAGTTACAAATGTCAACTCCTGCCAACTTCTGGGAGAAGCAGTGACTTCTGACAGGCCCCAATTCCCTGAGACCCCCCAGAATGCTAAAGTTTCCAAAAGAACATCTGAATACAAGTAGCCCCTCATCCCTTGGGGTCTACCTGAAGGGGCTTTCACTGACTTTGGAAATGCTGTGAGGCTGGATTCTAACGTGTCTTTGGTACACAGATCTACTCAGGTGGGGCCAGGCCATGGGGAGCCCTCCCTGTGCTCCTTGACACATCAAGGGGCAAGAAGCATCGGTGTGCCTTCTGGGACACTGCCAAGTCCAGGCTGCCACACGTGGCAAACAGGAAACCACCACCAGGCAGCCCAGCTTCTGCCCAGAACCCCTCAAAGATGGCTGCGGATGTTCAGTTTTGTTGCTGTAGGTGGGCCTGCCTTCTCTGGTGGCCTTTCAGGGAGGTGGAATTTGTCACATCAGCGGTGTATATTCTGCACTATATTTTAACACCCTGCTACATCTGATTGAAATTGAAAAAAAAAAAAAACCCCAAAAAAACAAATGGAGTCTGAGTAATGAGGAACCATTCATCTTTCCTTCCCATCCCAGCAGGAACAGAAAGTCATTCCAAGTCGTTCTGCAAATGTGTCCAAGGTTGGAGATTTGGGAGGGAGGAGCCAGCCAGCCTTCGCCTGCCCCAAATCACTGAAGCATTTCCGTACAACGACCCACTCAAAATGATAATTAAGGAAAAAGGAAAAAAAACAAACCTTCAGGAAAAAACCCATGAGATATATTAGCGTTCAGATGCAGAACAGGTTTTCTAAGACCATCTTGGGGAGGCTGATCACCATGTTGGACCCAGTCTTGGGGGCTGCTCCAGGTGGCAAACCCAGAGTGGCCCAAGCTTCAGGCTGCTTGAAGCCAGCCTGGGCAGCCGCAGCAGCCAAGCTCCCCTGTGGGCCTGATGGTGGCAATGCAACCACCTCCCCAACCCCCAGGCTCTTCCCATACTTCCGGCCCCTGTGACTCTCAGTCGCCCGCCCAGTCTTGGCCCCTAGAAAATGTCCCAGTGCCCACAGCCACCGGGCCTCTCCCCCAGGTTCAACCCATGTATGAGTGGTTTCTCCCCTCTCTTCCCCTTCAGCTCCTCGGAAGGAACCCGCAGGCATCCCTCCCCAGACGTATCTTGAAATGATTAATCTCTCAGATTAACTGGATGGGCTCAAATATAAAAATATTTTTTAAAAACAGTCGGGTCGTTAAAGAGTGACAGATTTAAGCG